GGTTTGAAGGCAGTTGCATATAAACTGCCACTGTATTCTAAAGCCATGTTATCAAACGCCAAAAAAGCAAAGTGTTAGAAAAGCAAGAGTGATGGAGGGAACACAAAAGAAAGCTTATTTCCTGATTAACCTTGTAACAGAACGCAAAAAAAAGTGTCTTTTCATGCCACACAGTTGGGTAGTATATAGTTACAAGGCCATATCTTTGCTTGGCTTTAAGCACTGCAGTATTAGACACATTCATAGAGTAGGAAAATGCCATTGTTTTGAATAACTCTGTTATCTTCAAATTTTATTTTAGGGAAGTTTAAACAGCTGTATGACTTGTTTGGGGGTTTTCTGTTTTGTTCAGAGAATGCAAAATTCTGTGAGGAAACAGGTTAATTTTGGCAGTTTGGCTGAAGCTTGAACTTTGCCTTACAATGAGTCTGGGAAATGGTCTTTTACAACCTCTTATGCAAACAAAGCTATGTTATTTTCAATCCTTTTCTTCTATTTCTAAGCCCTGCTAAACTATTTAGTTGTTTTTCTTTACTATTGTAAAAGTACCCCTAGAAAACCAGCAGTAGCTTAGAAAAATACTTATATTTTTCTTTTAAACTACTAGTAGAAAAAATATATTATTAATGTGTTTGCTTCTTTTTTTTCCCCAAATAGAGTCCAAATCCAATAACAATTTATTTGGGAACTGAGAAAGTATTGCAAAGGAATAATTTTTATACTGAGTTCAAGAAGGAAAAAACTTTATTCTTAACTGTACTCTGTAGGTTTAAATTAAGCAGTTGAAAATAGAGATGAAAGTGAAAGGCCTATCTAGGCCATCTATAACATTTTCCGCTGATGTTATAGAGACAGACACAGTGATGCGTCATGACGTTCTTACTGAATAAAATTATCTTCCAAATTGAAAGACTTAAGATATTGACTTACGTCATGTGATGTTACTGAAAAACAGGAAAGTAAGCCAGGAGGTTCCTCTAAGACTTGTATTATCATTTTCTGTTGTCCTTGCCTTGTTTGTCTGTCCCTTATAAGTGGAGAGCACACCATACTGTGTTTCATTCTACATGTTTCTTATTTGTATTGACGTTCACTGGATTTAACCCACAAAACAAAGGGTCTGAAAAACAAAACACAACGAAGCAAGAAATTTTCCAAGATGTTCGCAATGTAATTAACTAATGAAGACACAGTTCCAATTACATAGATTAACAGCATAAGGTGAGGAGAGAGCTGAAAACTTCGGAAAGAGTATGTGTAAAGATCTCTAAGAAAAAGTGTAAGATAAGAAAAATGAGGGATGATAAAATAACTAGGTTAAAGAAAATCTTACATGAATGGCATATAGTGACTGTGATTTTCGTGCATCCTCCTTCAACAGGTGTTTTTAATTATATGCAAGAGCAATCTCCAACATTTCTATAACTGGGTGCTACAAATTGCTGAACATCTGTACTGTACATGTACTGGTGTTTTTATATTATCCTCTATAATACATAGCAAAAATTCAAAGTTGCTAAGCATGTTTAATATTGAGCCTATATATAACAGTTGTGTTAGAGACCTATGTGTTAGAATCCTGCAGGATTTGATTTTGGGAAATATATATAATGTTTGTTTTAAAGCCCTTTCCAAATTGATTTTACTATTATTTACCAATTCCATGCTTTGTATTGATTGTCATTAAGAATTTAGCTAGTGCCTGTTCATTAGAAAGATGTTCATTAGAGTTGTCACAGTAGTACTTTGACAAATACACAGCTGTATTTGGATTCAAGTTTTCAGAAATTGACTCAAATAGCAATAAGTGCAAAAATATTAAATAGGAGCCAGGAAATACATTGTGCTTCACATATTGAATGGCATTATGGAATTATATGGAATTCATTAGATATGTGTATAAGAGTTTTCACGTTTTTTTGCTAGCTTTCATAGCAAAATTCAGTTGGCTGCCTTTTTTTTTTTTTTTTTTTTTTACCTCAGAGTACAATGGAATTGTAGACTGTCTGCAGAAAGTGAAGGATTATTTGATAAATACAGTCTCACACCTTCAAGAGGCAGAAAATACACTCTGCACTGCTAGCTGCAGACAAGATGATGGTTCTCAGATCCAGACTGCTCAAAATGCTTCTAAAGAAACATCTGTGTATTGTTCTGAAGGAGACTCATTAGAGCCTGAGCAAGCATCTTCTAGTGTCAGACAGCAATCTCAAAGAACTCCTTCCCTGAACAAGATGGAAAGTCAGAATATTGAACAAATCCAGCCAAGGGAGATTAAAACTGTGGAAAGAACCATTGTTGCGTCATTAGCTGAAAACATATCTGCTCAGGAACAGGACATTAGCAGAGAACTGTCAATGAAAAAGCGAGATGGTGAACACAGACTACTACTGAATACTAGTACAGAGAAAAAAGATTACAATGGAAGGGATAATCCTCATGGAGGTAGCTCTGTTACTGAAAAGTCTCCAGAACTGGCTTTCGCAGATGATGTTATGAGCAGTGAGGAAGGCATTCTACCTGGGACATGGAAAGATTTTTATGGCAGAATTATCCCAAAACCTTTTGAACAGGAAAACAAGGCATCAGTCAAAGAACATTCAAAAGGGGTAGAAAGTGAAGAGCATAGACTCACGGAGCAAACTGAAGACAGTGAAATGGAAGCAAATCATGAGATATGTAGGAATGACCTGATTACCTTCACATCTTCAGCACAAATATCTAATCTTCCTGCTGTGAGTCCTTCTATGAATGATTCAGGAGTGCAGAAATTTAGGCACTGGATGAACAAAGAGTAAGCCCATATTCTTCTTTTTATGAATAGAGGTACATAAATATTGCTTATTAAGACACAAGTAAACAGCTGTATGCACAGAAACTCAATGTTCATGTATTGAACAGCTGCTGGTCACATACATAGCTGTTTACATCTTGAGCATCCACAGTGAAGATCTTCCTTTTGGTCTAAAGTAAACTGTAACTTTCTATTTGATTGTATTTTTTTTTTTGCCAGATGACTAAGTCACAGACAGTAAAGTCAGTAATTCCCAAGTTGTTGGAAATCAGTAGGAAAAGACCCTAGTTAGTTTTAAAATAATTTGCAAGCTGTTCTGAATCAATCAAGACATAAAAATTTCCATTATATTCCCATCTATGCATTTTGTATTTTGCATACATACATATGCATCTATGCATATGTAATTTTATGGATGGTCTGCTTATGCTACTATGTAGCACATAATTATAGTAATTAAAAATGCAAGAAACCACCCCACCCAAAATACAATGAATATTTTGTATTCTTTTTGTCTAGATTTCTAGTGGAAGAGAGTGGTAAGAATGAAAGGCAAGTAGCTTGTTTTATTAAAGCCCCTGCAACTGCGCTGGAGAATCTGAAGTGTACAATAGTCAACGACGCTAGTTCCTTGGTGGTGGATGATTCTGAAGAGCTAGTCAGCAATGTTATCTGTATTGAATGTTCTGATTATGAGAAAATAATCCCTTTCCCTATCAACGTTGCGATCCCATTTACTTCATGCTTCAGAGGAAATTATCGGGAGATTATGGTGAAGATGACTGACATGAACTTTCAATCAATCTATTTAACTCCTATTTCTTTGGAGAGGTACCAAGGAAACCATAAGGTGTGTAACCTCTCATCTAAGCACTGTAAAAACATCATTCCAGGTTCCTGGTTAAGCCTCTGTGGAGTTGTACAAGTAAAGTTGCCCTTATTAAACCATATTGCTAACTGTGTGCAGTTAAATTGAACTTTTCTTCCTACTTTATCAAGAACTAATTCTATTTGAAAGCTATTGTTTAACAAAGTCCTTTTTTCCACTTGGAATTTTAAGGCAAGTTCTTAATCCTACAATACTAATGATTGCATAATAGTTCATGGGTTTTGTAAATAAATGTAATATGTTGCATTAATTCACAGAAGTGAAAACTTAAAGCAGGTGAATTTGCATTCAGATCACAGAGAAGTAACACAATTCTATGTGTATGAGTCCAAACTCCACCTCAAAGGAACACAGGATGTTTGGTTTATTTTTAATTATTTTATTTTAGAAGAAATGCAGTGGGACCAGATCACCTGGTTTATGGTTGGACTTGATGATCTTGAAGATCTCTTTCAACCTAGAGGATTCCATGATTCTGTGAGGTTTGTTCATTTCACCCCAGTCATAAACTGGAATACTAATGACATCACACGATGACTAGAGATCACCAGGTGGCAATAATATTCAATTTATTTTCATTTCACACCTTGCTCTATAAATAACGTTGCCTTCTCAAAATGCTATTCTGCTGAAGAACATAGCTTCCTTTCCTTGCAATGCATTCTAACCTGACATTGTCTTTCTGCAGGAAACCTTTGCAGAAGTGAAAATTTACCAGCTGGGTGTATTTTCTGTGTTGTCATGCTTTAAGAAAGAAACATTTACTGTTCCGGAGGTAGGACTTTCACAAATGCTGAGTGTGGATTCTAGAATCTCTTTCTGCTACCATCCAGAAACATTCAGCTCCCCAGCACCCATGCAGTTAAAGGTGAGCCTGAAATCCACAATACTTGTTCCATAGGTCTGTTATCTGATCAGCTCTGAAGCAAGGATGCCAATAATGTTAAACGGCAATCTGCTCTGTTATTAGAAGCCTGTGAAAAGTGGCTGCTGCTCCACATCCTGTATGCATAGCAAGTGGTTTCCTGTCAAAGTTGTTAAAACCATATAATGTCAGTACAACAGTAGTCAACAACATCTCTAGTGAAAAGGAAGAACCACCTACCTTTACCTGATATACTTCAGAAAATACAGTTTACAATAATAACATATGCATGACTTCCACTGCTTGGCCCAGTGCTTAAGTTAATGGAAAATTTTTTTTAACCTGATCTACATCCTTGGTAACAGGCAGTGCATCATCTCTTTGTCTTAGGCTGAGAAAAATCTCAGAGTTTGTTTCAGTTATGTTTTTCCCTTTCCCCATAAAAACATTGATTCTGAGGTACAGAGAAGCTAAAATCAACAATGAAAAAAACCACAGATTTGAAAAATCTTAGAAAATTATCAATATCTGAGGGACCTCAAAAGTTTCAAAACTTGAACTCAAAGCAGGAAAAAACAAAGTATTTTACTCAATAGAGGTTCCAGTTTTTGATGACTTTCAAGCACTTGGTTGTGAAGTGCATAAACTGCTGATATGTTGGTGGTTTTGTTCTTGGCTCCTAGAGAGCAACCTAGAGGTTCTGTGATAGTCTGATCCAATTCCAAAAGAAATAAATTTGAAAAAAATAGGGCATGTAAGAGAAGATTTATTAATTTGCCAATTAATTGTACAGTTTCTTTCTCTGTTTAGGTTCAGCCAATTGAACCATCGTTGATTTTGACACTGAAAGCAAGACACGATATGTATCACTCAGTAGTATCTACTAGTGCACTGGTTTATGTTCAGCATCCTTCAGCCCAGCCATTTAACAGCTCAGTCACTATTACACTACCCTGTCCTCCAAACCCAGAAAAAAAAAGGCAAGTAGATGGAACAGAACATGTGAGAGCCATTAGTGCTACAGTCAGGAGGGTCGCTACAGCATATCATCCTAGGTAAGAATGACTTCACTGCAAGTTCAGCATTGTCAAAACAACAAAATGAACTCATTTTAACAGTTACAGATTAATAATTTTTTTGTATTTAAAATGTATTAGCTCCTTTCTACAGTCTTCTATAATTATGAACGTTGTGAGAAACATTAGAGCAAATGCCCACAATTCTTATACCTGTCCCGGTTAGAAGGCAGAATTGTGTCCCACCTCCCTTATCCCTCAGTTTTCCCAGGTAGAGAGGTAAATAAGGAAGGCAGGGGTAATGAAAAACCTGCACCGAATTGAAAATTAACAAAATGAAATATATTATTTAACAGGGAACAGAAAAGAAGAAGGGTAGCAGTTTAACAGGGAACAGAAAGGAAAAAGGGTAGGGATTTAACAGGGTAAGGGGGTTATAGGAACAATAAAGCAAAGAAGATTAAACTTCCAAATATACAATACCCAAATGTTGTGCAGAGGCTCCCCGGTGCTGGATCTCACTGGATTGAGGTGGATTGAAACTGGATGCACAATGCTTGGACGTGGATGGAGGCAGGGAAAAAATTTGTAGATCAGGCCCAGGTCTCCAAGATGGCCACGGCCATGCGCAGCACAGGGAACCACAAGCAGCAGAGCAGCGTGTGTCCAGGGAGAAGAGCAAAGGAGCAAGAGAGAGAGGCGTGTCTTCTCGCCCCTTTTATAGACCTTGGCAGGAAGTCCCAAAGACAGGAAGAGGAGAGTGGGAATAGAACAGGTATAAGCCCCTTTCATTCAGGCTTGCCCCGGGTCTTGGATTTCAGACCTTCACCCACCAGGAGCAGCAGGTTTCACATTACAATACCATAGCTTCATCAGGAAAATTCTTATTGCATTTGATGTATTATCTTTATATATGCTGATCACTGTATTTCTAGCAGGAGTCAGGATGAAAAATGCATGTGTTTGTTTTAGCAAGAAATGATCAGCCATTTTCACTGATGCCAAACACTGAATGTAGAGAATAACAATGTCTCAAAGCTGTGATCACTATTTTTACCAGTTGGTGGCTTGGCTGAAGTGACCTTTGGATTTTCTGATCTCTAGTTCTACACATTCCAATAGCTACCCAAGTCAAAACTTATGACATAATGGTTTGGAGTGGATCAGTTTTGTGGTAACTACTGCCCAGATTCTGTAATGAGTGCTTTTGAAAAAAATTCTGAAATATAGACCTTTTGGAATGTCTTAAAAAAAAAAAAATAAAACATGTGGACTCTAAATTTCAGTTGTTAAAAGGCAGTTCAATAAATGTATCATCATGTATTTGAGGATATGGATAAAACTTTTTGATGGAAAAGAAAGCCAAAGCTTACCTCATCTATTTTGACACTCAGCAAAATAAATGTTGTTTCTGTCATCTCGTGCAGGAAAAGAAAAAAAAAAAAATCTGAACTTGCCATTTGATTGTTATCATTTAATTTCCATTACCATGGGCAACTCCAGGTTCAGAAAGGCTCACTGGGATTTCTTGGTATGGACTAGTTTGGAGCAAGAGTTAGCTTTGCAGTACTTCTACTATAGCTCATTAAAGATTTTATTGCTACTGTGTTAAAGATTATCTTTTTCAAAATTCATCTGCATTACAAGACTATGATTGTTTTGAAAATAAACAAGGTACAGATGGAGAAAGCAGACAATGTTCTAGCTTTCCATTTTTGAGAAAATTATCACATCATGTTTTAAAGAGCTCTACACTTACATTGCTCATTCAGACATCCATCTTTATCATAACTTTCAGATTTGGGAAGGGTGCCCATGTCAGTTTGTAGGAGATTCAAATTTCATTTCCCATACCAGAAGCATTTAATTGTGTGGCAGTACCCTCGTGGCATCTGTCTGTTCTTAATAGTAGTCTAAATGGCACTTTAGATTCTCAGTCAAGGCACGTTCATGAAAAGACCATGGCTTGATTGCTTATTTCTATACAAGTTCCTTAGAAAAATGCTGCCACCATTTTCCTGTGTTTGCACAGAGGCTGTATGTTTGAGAAATGCTTAGGCTGCCCTGTAACAATTATTTTCTTTTTTGGATCGTACATAGTATTTGCATCTGTGGTGAATGGATTATTCACATCCAGTTTTAAACAATTAATAAAGGAGAGATGTGTGAGTTATGGACCTCTTTAAAATCCCCCTCAGGTTTCATTCATTAGAATAAATTAGCCTGAGCATGTCATGGCATAATTGCTTGATTCTGAGTGTGATATCAAAGTCATCACCCGATTTCAAGAGAACTTGCTTTTGTTTTCTCTGTTGAAAGACATAATGGATAACAATCATGTCTTATTTTCTAAACTCTTTCTTGGGTTTTAAGTAACTTTTCCTTCTCGAAGAAATGGTGAGTTGGTGCATTTTTTTCAGATATTTACTTCTAGAGAATCTAAATCTTGATGAATGTTTGATGATGATGGTAACAATCTATAATAACTTCTGTGTGTGAGATTAAATGATAGATTAAACTAGATCAATTTGGATAGAAAACTTTCTTTTCCTTCCTCCGTGCTCTTTCTGGAGAATTTTGAAACATCTCTAAAATATTTCTTGACAATTACCTCACTTACATACTCAGATGTAGGTTTTCAGCAAGGTGGGAAAAACATACACACCCATCACGGAAAGCAGAAGGGAAAGCAAAGGTATACATATAAGCTTACTGTTTCTGCAGGATCTATTTTTCATTGCATTTTTTTCATATACTTTCTTGGCTTTCCAGGACTGCGAGTGCGTCTGTGAGAAAAAATGGGGAGAACCTCAGTGATACTTTGAAATTACTAGGTCACAGAAACAAAGAAGAGGGGTGGAAAGTGTTTGATGATGTCATTATCCAGAATGCGCGGAATGGGCTTGTATCATTTGAACTAAATGAGCATTTAGAAAGGTAATGTATGAATAATTTAATAAAATTTTATTTACTGAAATATTTCCTTCCAAGTATATGAATCAATGGAAATGAATAGCTCAGAAATCCTGCACTATTAATTAACTTGCCAGCATCTCTTTTTTCCTCTTTGCAGTGCAAGAACATTTAGATTTGTTACTCACAATTACAGAAAAAATATATTTGCTTAAATAGTTTTTCATCTATAGACTGCACATATTGTTGTATATACAATACTTAAAACAGGAAATGCGGATTGTAATCTTAATTTGAAAATGTGATTTGTCTCTTTAACAACAAATCCGTAATATTTTTTGCAATTTCTGATTAGGAAACATTCTGTTATGTAATCTAAAATTTGTATTTGAATTCATAGATACAGAATCATATATTATACACTACAGAAACAGGCAAATTTCCATCCTTTCATGTGTTTGAAACAAGAAGGAAAAGGAGGTAGCAAAAAGTTGATTGGAGATTGAGCCCTGTATTATTTTGCACAATAAATTGTTAACATTTGATAAAATTATTTAAGATGGAGCTATTTATTTTCTTGCCTTTTTTTTTTTTCTTTTTTATATAATACAGATTTGTGGTCGTTCGCCTTTCATACCTCTTGGAAAACACATACCTTCTCCTCTTTGCTCAGGCTCTGGAAGAAGCTCTTCACAGCACAATGGTTAATGTGATACTGTATCAGAAAAGAGAAAACCCATATCAAATAGTAGTTTTGCTCTCTGCATCTAAAGAATTGACCCGTGAACTTCAAAATCTCCATGATGAGGGCTACTTTGGTCCCCCAGAACCTACACAGCAGTTCCCATTAAAAGAAGGAGAGCAGATTCATTTTAGATTTAGAGGCAATATTTTTGCTTTAGGTAAGGTAATTAATTCATGCATCTGGATGAATATTATTAATCACCTCAGGTATTTAGAAATACTGCATGTGAACATCAGTAGATTGTGGTTAATCACATCACATTTCAGTGTTTTGTTTCTCATAAATTATAGACACATGGAACTACATGGCAAAATGCCCTGTCTGAAATACAAAATGTAGTAGTGGAACAAGATTTCAACAAGATTTACTGGTTGAACAATCTGCTCTAGATGACCCTGCTTTGAGCTTTGAGGTTGGACAATATGATCTTCAGAGATCTCTTCCAATCTCTGTCATTCTGTGAAACCTTGTCCCTCAGAAAAAGGTGGTAGTTTATATTTTATTTCAAAAGGGTAGGATCTCATCAATGGGGTTTTAATATAAAGAATATTTGATAGGAATTAAACAAGATCACAACCCAGAAGAAACATCTGCTATTTTGTCTTTGTAAATTCACTAAAAAGTGAGTCAGATTAAACACTGAAATACAGGGCAAAATGTTACTTTTCCTAAGCTGCACTATGAATGGAGCTGATGATAGAGAGTTGTTATGCCATTTTCTCTAGCAGCCTCAAAAATCCTATGCAGTGGCTGCCATTATGCAGAGATCTGCTTAAATGGAAAACAGATACGAATCCCCAGAAAAGCTTTCACCCAAAATTACCTACCATCTCCTCTGTCAGTTTTGGAAATAACGTATAAATCCATATTTGTGTCTCTGAACATTTTATACATTTTAAACTCTCCCACTAAAAACTGCATTTACCCTAAAGAAAGGATTATTCTTCAAAAATAGAAGTCTCCAGTCCCCCAAGAATGTCTGCTTACATATCCAAAGGATAGTGTATATAAACACCCATTGAAATGGAATTACAAATCCTGAAAACACACATACCTCTTTGCCTCCATTAATTTTGTTACAGACAGATACCCATCCTGAATAACTAGGAAGCATATACTTTAATTCCATTCACAGCATCATTTTATTTTCATTTTTCTGCGCTGCGTACTTTATCCCATTCCATGTTCTTTACTTTTCAACCTGCAGCACAGCCTTCAGCACTTATTCCTTACAGCAGCAGTTCAGAGTCAAAGACAATTAACTGTAAAGACATTTCAACAACTGAAGCAGGCTGGCAGGAATGTCTGAACCTCACATGTCAAATATAAAGTAATAATAATGATAAAGAATAACAGAATGTAAAACAATTAAGTCTAATTTACTCACCCTAATGTATTATTTTAGATGCCATATACCCAAATACAGTGTAAAAAGTCTCTTGTTTTTGTTTTATGGACTGTAGAGAATGGAGAAGATTTCGGAAAAATCTACAGGCTGATTTTTCATTCACAAAGAAAACCTAGGCTGGAGCTCAAAATTAAAGAAGTGGATGAATTTGGTAACCACAGTTCACCTCATTATAAAGGAACAGCAGTGTTTTATAAGATTACCAGAGAGATGGTAACGAAGAAATGGGAACAACCCCTGCCATGTGGTGAATATCAACACCAGTCCCCACTGTGTAAATTAGCACTAACGTTACCAAAGGTGTGTTTCTCATTTGATAATGTTAGAGATCTTTCCTGTTTTCCCTTATCACATACTTATTAGAGAAAAGGATCTTGGTATGATTTTTTTTTGCTTTAGAAGTCACATAGAAGTCACACATAGAAGTCACTGATTGTTCTGATCAGTCAGCAATGTACAAACACCCTCAGAATTTCTCTTAGCAGGTGAGAGGGACCCTCATCTAAGCATGAGCACAGAAAAAAAAACCAAAAACTTTAGCAGAAGTTTTTCACCCATTTGCTCTCCCCAAGTAATAAATTCTCAGGGTCATACCATTTAAGTTTCAGTTATATATTTCTTGTATCCTTGTCTTGGGAGTGCAAAATTGCAAACTGTAGGAGCACTTAATGGTTCATGTAACCTTTCTCCTATCACCTTATTCTCCCGCTTCTGAAATACAGCCATGTGGGCAATTCTTTCTATCTCTAGTGAAAGCTCTTGCCACAGAAATTAATCTTTAATATTCCTGCAATGAGATCTCATTGTAATCTTTTTAAAGAGCTAAGGTATCAACACCCTGTATTGTACAAAATACTGCTGCTAGACTACTATCAAATTTGCATACAATTTAATATCAAAATATGTACAGTAACACTTGTTCTAAATCTCTGGTGACAAGCAGTATCATCTCTCTCATTTTGAATTTAATTAACTTCACTCTTCCTTAAATTATCACCTGAAAATACGTCTTCTGTTTCATATGCATATCTCTTGATTTCTACCTCATCTTCCTTCTCCCAAATGAAAATTAAGAACAGTTAACTGCAGATTTTAAGGGGCAATCTCTTTTAGTGACAAACTCCACATGAAATGTAAGTTTTCTTTTGAGAATTACATGCTTCTCAAGCACTTTGCTTTTCCAAAGGGCTAGTATTCCATTTGCAGTATCCACAGAGGAAAATACAAACTCTTGAGGCCCAGTGGGATGATTAAGAAAGAAAAGATTTTAAAAAAATTATTTGCGGCACACCCTAGGCATCAGTTAGTTTACTTCCATCCATCCACCTGGCTTCTGTTCCACTGTTCAACTTCATTTAGTCTTACTGCATAATAAGAATAAGATTTAAATGTTTGAACTTCATTTGTGTTAAACCACAAAGGTAATTATCAAATCTCTTAGATTTGGGTTGGCATATATTGTCTGCTACTACACCCATTATTCCTTAAATGTTCTATTGGGACTTTTCAAACCAAATATTTCTGACTATCCCTTTTCTCTTACTAAATTTAAGGTCGCATTTCCTCTTTCTCAGTGTGGCTAAGATCTTCAAATCTGGTCAGTCTGTATAAGTGTGTGAAATATGTATGTGGGTACACAGTAGCACCTAGGCATCCTACTGATTTAAATCAAAATAAATGGAGGAACTGTATAACATGTTAATTGCTGGTAAATTAGAAATTAAATAAAACATCAGGAATAGTGATAGCCTATGGGAACATTTTCTCTACATCTGGGTTTTTTTTTGAGTAGTGGCTCTACTTTCAACTGAATCAGTTCAAGCACAGAGGATCCAAGTTTAATGTATAAAAAGTCTGCTTAGAGAGAGAGTTGTTATATCACCTCAGAAAATCAATGTTGCAGCATCTTGCAAATAACTTTTTTTTGCTTCTGGTAAATATATTTTAAGAGATGCATTTCAAAGGAGTCATAATCTTCATTAAATGCAAATATTAAGCCAAAAAATGTGATCAAAATGCTTGAAAACATTTGTATACTGATAACTTTTTCTGTCTTACACAGAATGAAATATCAATTCTATAGAATAAGAAAAGCATGAAAATAACATTTTCCTTATGTTGAAAGTCATCTTAGCACACAAGACGTTATACTTTGCTATAGCTGGTGAACCCTCCTGTTCTTGATCTATCTTTCTTCCATCCACTGTAATAACTTAAAGCTGATAATGCCTAAAGTCACATTTTTTTAATAGAGAAGAAATAATCCTTAATTTAGGTAGTTCAGCTGTTATCTTTTTGAAGAATTATAACACATCAATGAAGCAGATTTTTTTTTTTTTACTTTATTGAATAACTAGTAAATTAAATACAACATGCCTTCCTGTTTGTATATAAATGCACAAGGCAATGGGATTTCTCCCATGCCACTATCTAATAGTATGTGCCATTCATGAACACCCAGTTAAAAGTTGCTCATCCTTTTGCTCTTCGTACCTTCTTCCAGCCAAGTAAATCCTGATTTCCATACTTAAACTCTCAAAAATTTTAGGAACAAAAATTATCTCTTGGCTTGTTTGCTGATTGAAAGATAGGAAAAAAAAATAAAATAGGAAAAAGTGGTTGGTTTTTTCAATGGAAGATGATTACTAGTAAAGTCCCCCACAGTTCAATGGTAACATATTCGTGAGAAACTTGAATAATTAAGTGAAAAGTCTGACAACAGTACAAAATATTCAGAGTACTAAAGTTTTCTGTGAAGAATCACAGAATATGATGATACTGAGTGACTAGAAAATAAACTAAATCATTTAGACATCAATAAGCATTTTGTTGAGGTGGAAGTACGTATCTAGTTTTATACTGACAGACAAAGTTATCTATTAGCTCACAAAAAAAAAAAAAAAAAAAAAAAAAAATCAATCACCTTTGGTCATTTTGCTCTCTGAAAACTTCCAGAGCATTCAGCAGCAAATAATTATTTAGAATGGTCCAACTTATTAGAGAACAAAACTGAAAAAAAGATTATGTCATATCTACAAGGCATTCACATCATGACTGCACTCTGCAGGTTTGGTCACAGAACTCAGAGGATTTGGTAGAAAAGGAAAGAAAGACGGTGATGACCAGAAATGTGTTTCCATGTAGAAAGATGATACACTGATGACAACACTTCAGGCAGTTCAGCAGAAGCTGACATACCATATACATTTATGAATATTATGTAGGAACTAAAAAAAGGAATTATTATACCCCTTTTCACAGGATATAAGAACAATGATATTTGTAAGTGGCAGGTGTAGCTACTAATATAAAAGAATTTACATTTTACATACAAAAATAATCAAAAGGTGAACTCATTTTCATAGGATATTTGTGTCACTTAAAAATGCGTTTCAGTTAGAAAAGGAATTGACTGGAAGAGAGACAGAACCATATATTAAGTATAATGATCCAGATGGAATTAAATGCCAGGGCAATGAAAAGGAAATTCTAATTACTTATTGTAACTTATTATGTGTTCTAAAATTATTAACAGTGATGGAATCACTGACAGTAAAAATTAACATTAAGAACTTTAATCTTGTTTTTACTGTCCATGATCTGATCAACATATTTGAATCAGATTTATCTTCACACTTAGGTGAGTTTTCTAATGAATAATAGAAATAGAAGGAAATAGTTAAAATTGGATGAGAAAATGTTGTTAGGGAGAAATCTAATTCACTAATTATGCAAACAGCTACGCCAGCCATCTGTCAAATGCAGCTCCTATTTACCACTTCATTAAAGTACAAGTGCTAAAGTTCATATAATATGAATCAAGATTGGCACTGTCCATATTTTGTCGTGTGTTGATGGTATTAATATTTTGCCAAAGCACCTAAAACTACCTGGTCCCATTTGTGTTCCCAGTCATACATTCAAGCAACGACCCCTCGAATTTACTAGTTTCTATCACATGTGTACCACTACAGTACAGCAATTAAGCCGCCACAAGTGCCTCAAGCATATCAAAACATAATTCTCAGTGTTCATGTCTGACCTATGGGTAGTGCTGGGTTGTTTATAGTATTGCTCACTCTTAACACAGCTGCTCACCGAAGTTTCCATTGTCGCAGTAAGGCTTCCTTGTCGTAGTCGTGAACTAGTCGACTTGAACCTGTAGCATTGTTGAGGGGCCTCTCACTTGCTGCCAGTATGCTGGGGGTGCCTTTCATCATTTGGAAAAAAAAACCCAAAAAGATCACCAATATATCAGTAAATGCAGGGCAAGAACAGAAAATACTATTTACATTTCTACTGCTTTGTTGAGTTAATAAAGATCTTAAGTTTAATTTAACCATGTTAACAGATTACTTTTAATAAACATGAGATCAAAATCACTCAGTGTTGCCAGTAGCAGTAGGATTTGCTCAGTAAAATGAAATTAAGCTTGGGTGGTTTTTTTTTTTTTCTTTTCGCTTTTTTTTTTTTTCCTTGCCAGATGATAAATTTAGAACTGCCCACAATGCCTGATCTTGGTTGTGGCAAAGACAGATGGAATCTTTTTAAGGCAACTATACTGGTTACATTTTCATTCATTTCTGTAAAACTCTCACCTAAATTTCTCTTGAATTGTGGAGAGGAAACAGCAATTATATGGATTATAAACCATTTTTATATGTATGTGCCCACATTACCCTATTACTCTATTAAAATTATATTTTTGACAGTGGTCAAAGCAGTGATTTTTTCCTTTGCATGCAACCATTCACATGAGGTTTTAGTTTAAACATGCTATACTTGTACAGAAATGGTCTGATATTCACTAACAAATCCTATTTACAGAGCTTTCACTTCCTCAGCATTAGAAAACACTGGTTAGTTATTTTCAACACCAGTAAACAGATTAGGTTCTGATGTCAAGTATGTGTGTGCATGTCAGTAATATTTACTGATTTCAAAGCAGTTGTATTTATGTGAAACTGGGCTAAAGAGTTTAAAAGGTTAATTTCTCCTTTTCTGTCTGTCCTGTTTGATATGCTACTAGAGTCTGATCACGCCTGAGAGGTCCATTTAACAGAGCACTTGAGTATTTCTGGCTCAAATCAGAATGCTTTGCAAAAAGAGATTCTTGTAATGCATACAAGCATTATCAAATTACTATTCTGCTGAAGTTACATGTCTAATGACTGTCTAACAGCAAAATGGCACGTGATCCTCTGCTTCAGAGCAGCAGTTGCTTTGCTAATTAAAGGGCCTTCCAGACTAGAAAACTGCTTTGACAGCCAAGAGTATTTTACTTACACTGTCAACCAGAACAGTGGGACCACATGCCAGTGCAGTTGAACCATGGGTGAATTTAGCACTTCATCACGGATATTTAATCTTTAAAGACAGATTCAATGTTTTAGATCTAATGCATTGTATATTATTATACTATTTCTAGACAATACTCATTTTCAATTCTTATCATTTTTACTACCATTTTAACATTAACCAGCAT